TCGCAGAGGAGCTGAGGGGGAGTGCCCCTGCCCCATGCCACCACCCACCCAGCCTGGCAGCTCAGGCTGGAGGGCTGAGGGACGGGCCACTCTCTTTATGTGACTCTATAAACTCTGTAAATCTTAATTATTTGATTGTAGAAATCGGCATGTATTGAGCTCAACTGATTGGATCAGGCCGTGTGCAGCACAAGCAACATGCAACAGCTCCTGTGGCTGGAGGTCTCCTCAGACCTCTGGATGTCTGTTGCCTTGAAGCAGGGGCTTGGAGCTCAGCAGAACTACCTCTTTTTGCTCACAGGAGTCCCTGTGCTCTGTTTTGCTCAGTACTGCAGAGCAGTGCTCCCTGCTGCCCTGGCACTTGCGCGGCAGCGGGGCTGGCACTCACAGCTGAGCACATGTTTAAATGCTCGATGGATTTGGGGCTCATTTTGTCTGCTTTCGTTTGGGTCTTCCTGCTGTGCACTGCTCAGAGTAACGTGTGGAAAATAATCAGAGCAGACTTCAGAAAGGGCACGACACTGAAGAGCAGCCTCTGAAAGAGCCCATCTGCACTGGCCTGCTGATGCAGATCAGATTTTCCCCACATTGGTAATTAACCACTGTTTCATTCAGTATATCTTTAATTATCTCACTGTTAGACAGTAAACAATCTTTCTGCTAGATCATGCTGAAAACACCTTCATTTTTCAAAAGCTGTAGAAATGCACTTTTCACCCAGAGAGGCTCACAGCAGTGCTGCTTTCCCTCATGACATTATTCTCGTGGTCTTTCCCACAAATGCCTGGGTGTCTCCTAGGTATTGCTTTTTAATCACCTACCCTCATTACTTGTAGTGTTTGTTCCTTTTTCATTTTATAGCGCAAGGCCAGAGAGAAGGCAATTAAAATTCAATAACGGCGCTGGTGCAGTGCTTAGACACTCATTAAGTAGTCATTAGGTAGCCTGGAGACTCGTTGTCTCCATGAGGGTTTGTCTCCTGCTCTCCATGAGTCTCCCTGCTGCAGTGTGACCTGGAAGCACAAGTGCCAGCCCAACACAAAGCCAGCCGTGCTGGGGAGGCTCCTGGACACCCCCCAGCCCAGCCCCTGGGGCTCCTCCAGCAGCACGGGAGGTGCCCAGGCCTGGGGCTGCTCCCTGGCAGGGTTCCTGTCCTCCCCAGTGATGGCAGCACCTCTCCAGCACCCTTGCTTACGCTGGCTTGAACAGTCCCCCTCCCAGGAACACAGGCCCCAGCTGCCAAGGCAGCTCATGAAGGATGCGCTCCTCAGCCTGAGTAACTGGCCAACTCAGGGCCCCGGGGAGGCAGGAGCATCCGCTGTCAGCCAGGCTCCTGCCAGAAGAGCATTTAAACCAAGCAAGCTTCATTTGGAGGTGGGAAAAAAGACCTCGCTGGCAGAGACAGGATGGCAGGAGTATGTCACTGACTGTCAGATGCATAAGGGCATCGATAAAATAATGCTCACACTCAGAAACTCTCACAAAACAAGGGAAGCAGCCTCTCTTGATTCTAAGGATTGCCTCTGGACAATAAATAACAGCATCTGTTCTCCCAGCTCTGAGCATCTGAAGTTTATTTGGCTTCCTGTCCTTGGGGAGCTGGGGAGGAGAGGGGACAGGACAGAACAGAGACAGTTCAAGCTAAGGAAGGCTCCACAGCGGCTCTGAGGAGCATTTCACCAGAGCTCACTGAGAGCAGCGGGGCAAAGCCCAGTGTCCAATGCATTATTTAAGACTGTCCTCACACTGCTGACCCATCCTAGATGCAGATCAATATGCTAGCCTCGGCCAGAAAAAGACTGCTTTGATAAGAGAATGTAATGCATGTGAGAGATGCTGAGGGGGAGCAACGCAGCCCCAGGGAGTATCCACGTGCGGCACCGGCGCAGCCCCGGGGAGCCAGCGGGCAGCCAGGGGAGGAGCAGACCACTCATGGGTTCCCAGCTGGTTCCAGGCACTCGGTCACCTCTGGGGCAGAAAGCTCTGGCCCACAATCTCCTCACTGACAGTCCATCTCCTGCACCTTCCACCTAGAAGGGGAAGGAGGACAGCAGGTATACAGTCAGCACGATATACGGTTGGAATCAGCAAAAGTGTGATGCATATGAAGAAGAGAGCATAAACACCAAAAAAAACCATTAACAGTAATGTGCAATACCATGAATAACAGCACCACAGTTAGTGGCTGAGTAGCTGCACGTACACATGTATGTTCAAGGGTAAATCTGCTGAAGTATAAAAAACATGGGCTTAAATGTCATCGGGACCAGTTAGTGCAAGTATGAAGAGCAGTGGAAGTCTAATCCTGCACCATTTCCATCAGAGGTGGCTTTGCTGGTGGCCCTTGGAGTGCAGGACTGACACCTGGCCATGGCCCAGGAAAGCTCCTTTCAAGAGGTAAAAGAAAGGGACTCTGGTCATAGTCAGCCTTTCCCTGTCACAAACTTTAGTTGTTCTTCCTGCCCCTGTAACCTGTACCATGCTGACACACTTCTCACTGCAGTCTGGAGTCTCAAATGGAGGTTACCCACACGCCTGTGCACTGTGCTGCCTCCAGCAGCCCCCTCCTCACACCTCCTGGCTGTGCTGGCCTGAGGGCAGCAGCTCAGCACCTTCACCCCTCCCTGCCCTTCCCAGTGCTGCTTCTGACTCACCTTTCACGGCTGAAGACGTGGTTCTGAAGCCTGCAGCTGCTCCTCGAAGTAGAGGAGCTGATCCACCTCAAAGCAGTCGCTTGCTCTGGACACCAGTTTCTCCAGACGTGTCCTGATCTCCTCTTCACTGGCATCCTGCTGTCTCGCTTGCTTGAGAGAGCTGTACACAGCCTCAAACACCTCCACTCCCAGCTTCCCAACGGCAGATCTGGGGGCAACAGGGTGCACAGCCAAGCAGGTTAGTCCACATTATCTATTAATACAAGCAGTAACTAGGACTGACTTTTTCTAAATGTTGTAGCAGCTACCTCTGAATAAAATGATACGATGCACCTGATTTGTCCCACAGTACAAACAGCTACAGTTTCCTGGGGAGTTCCTCTTGGGCTTTTGGTAACACAGGGAGCACAGCAGTGAAACCCTGCCCACAGTGCAGCCAGGGCAGGCACGGCCACCCTCCCTCCTCCTGCTGCACCTGACACACTGCTGGATCAACAGCAGGCCCACCCCAGCACACGTGTTGGTGCCTGCACATCACTGAAAGGAGCAGCCCAGCCTGAAATGCTGGGGTCTGAACCCCAAGCCCTGAATTAAGGTTGACATGTGGGTGATTCCCACAGCCCTTCATCCAGAGGGGTGAGTTTGCCTTAGAGCTTCCCCCCAGGGTGCGGCCGGCCCTGCAGGGAGAGCCAGAAGGGAAATGAGCCCCAGGGGTCCCACATTGAGCTGACAAAGGTCAGGTGTCTGCTTGGGGATAAAAGCTGGGACCACTGGCAGGGAGTCAGGAGTGTCTGTCTGTGGAGTGCACTCCACAGAGCTTCCTGGTTCAGGGCAGATCTCCTGACTCTCCTGGAGCTGGGCCCTGGTCTGTTTAGACCTTTGTGAACGCGGGCTGATCGGGTGAGAGTCGCCATGTGGGCACCTTTCTCTGATGTGTTCAGCTTGCTGGTCTGGCTGTTTCCCATGCCAGCTGTGGGCACCCTCGGGTCTCTGTTTGTACCCCCTGTTGTGGGCCGAGTTACATCCTTTGTGGGATCGTTGGGGGTGGTGTCAATGATGTCCCAGCTGATTGATCTGTTTGTACCCCCAGCGATCATTCATGCAATGTCCTTCTTGTCTATGACACAGTCTGTGTATTGGTTCATCTTCCTGCTGGTGCTGGTATCATTTTTGTTGGGCCTGGTCATTGGCAGAACGCTGCCCCAGTGGTATCTCCTGGGGCCAGGCACATCCCAGGATTCATTCTCTCTTTCAGCCTCCCTCAGGTTCGGGGGAGCGCTGCACTGCTCGGTGAGCCAGCTGACACCTCCTCTGCTGCAGCACTCGTCCCTGTCAGCAGAGACCTGTGGCTCAGGACAACGAACCCACCCACAGGACCTTCCTGCTCACTTATAAAGAAGATCCATTTGCAAGCTGCAGGACAAGAACAGTGCTTCTTTTTCTAAAGGCAAACATCTTTTAAATTCATGTATCAAACCACAGGTAACATAAGATTTTCCACGCAGTGATGAGCTCATAATATTTTGATGAAAATACTGCAGTAATTTTCCTTCAGCCTATCTGAAATTATCTGCTCGCCCTGCCCTGTACATCTGCCACAGGATCTGCGGCGTTTTCTTTCACTGAATTTTCATGTTAGAGCAGTTGTGGTTTGATTGTCTTTTGGTGTCAGACTTGCATATTTTAGGGGTGAAGATGTCCTTCACTCAGTACAGGAACTGAGCTGCACTAATCGGGATCACCTTGCAGGAATATCTTCAATCTTCATTAAAAACTGTCTTAGTTCGGTTAGGTGAAGTTGTGGTGAGCAGCCTCTCCTCCCAGTAGCACTTTGCTACAGTTTCAAGGGTATTTAGTTGGGACAGTCATTCCTTTTCCAAGAATGCATCATGATATGAAAATCCCTTCCATAAAGCCTCTCAGTACATCTGAGCAAGGTTCCTCTGACAGGTGTTTCTTCCATACCAAAATAAGGTAACATCTGAGACTCTAATGCTCTCTCCTATTGCTCAAGCATCACACGTACTGTGCCTCTAGCGAGTTAAAACATTTGATGCCTGAACACTTTGCTTGGTGGTAATTCTTTAGACAAAAAGGAGGCACTAGGAAGTGAACTGTTCAGTGTTCACAAAACTTCACTAGAAATATCGCAGTACTTCTCACTGACAGTTAAAAATCAATAAAAGGGAAGCTATTTTGAAATCACTGCTACTTCGTCAATGCCTTCACTGACTCCTCTCTGCCTCTTAGACAAGTATGTTTAATTTTTTGGCAGTCCTGTCTATTTAAAGATTAAAAATTAAGCAAAGGTACCTTGGGAGTATTGCTTCTGCTAACAAATGTGACCTGCAGACTTGAATCTCTCCAGTTAGCTCAGCAGAGCATGCAAATCAGCTATTCCATGTAGCAGCTGATTCAGTACAAGGGAAAAGCGTTCACAGGTTGGAAATTCAGGGGTAGGTACCAAACCCCACAACCTGCCTTCAAAAAGGCAAGATCAGGCTCTGCTTGGACGGGCAGCTGCACTGACGCGAGGCTGCTGCCACACTGCGCGTTCTCCGTGGGACACCCACCCGAACCCACCGCCCCCAGCCAGGGGGAACAGGGCCTTCCTCCACCAGCCCCACTCATTGTGCCCATCATGGCCCTGATCCTGTGCTAGGGAATATTTGTCCACCCACGTGCAGTCCTGCAGAGGCACAATTAGGAATTTTGTGCTGCCTTTCTGTTTGTAATTACTTCTGCTTCATGTGGAGTATGCCACATGGAGTGGTGAAAGCCTTGCCACCAAACATACTGTGGGAACAAGCACAGAGCTCCTGTTTACACCCCTATTTGGCCACATTTTGTGATTTACTGGCTTTTACTCTTTGTGCTATCTTGCTTACCTACAGACCTTGCTCACTTACCTACAAACTATTTTCCAGCAGAAACAAGCCACCATCTCTTTCTCAGTCAAGACCACGAGAGCAAAGGGGACACCTGACACCAGTCAGACTGGGGGACAAAGGACTCCCCTTCACCTTCATTTGTCTTAGCATGAAAGCAGATGCATTGGGAGAGAAGAAAATGAGCAACGATGGAGAACAACTCTGGACAGACTGGAACTAATGACAGCACTGGGGGTATGTGAAAATGTTATTGGCACGAAAGGGTTCCTGGGTGAAACAGCACAAGCAGTCCTTGGGACCGAGATCCGGGCTGCTGTGTGCGAGTGTGTGCCCACAGACCATGTCCTCTCATTGCCAGCTGCAAGAGAGCCAGCAGCAGGCCCAGCTTCCCTCCCCCCCAGCTGCAGGGAGCTGCCCGAGGCTGCAGGCTGGAGAGGCACAGGGGTGCACATCCTCCACAGCCTGGGGGTGTGCTGTGCCCATCTCCTGCTGCCAGGACAGCAGGCACTGCCAGCCACCCGTGGTCTGAAGTGAAAGGCCTCCTGCTGCCAGCAGCACGCAGTCCATGCCCAGAGAACACAAACTGGGCCTGGCCCAGGGCCACCAAGGCCAGAAGGTGTCTGGTCTGTGGGTGACAGTGGCACTTGGCCAGGAGACAGGGACTTGGTTCTACCCAGAGCAGGGTGGTTCTGAGCACGTGGGCAGCAGCGTGGGTGCCAGCAAACCCACAGGCAGGGACCGTGCGGACCCGCTCCAGCGTGAGAGGAGGGCTCAGCAGGGACCCCGAGAACTCCAGTTTTATACACCCAGTATCTAAAAATGTCCCAAGTCATTAGTGGATCTGGGCCCAGACGAATTTATCAGGGGGCAAACCTGTCACAATCATGGCCACGGGGCATAAAAGCAAGCACAGGGAACTCTGACAGAATAACTGCAACAGATGTGGATAGAGTCTGTTCTCCCTAACAGAAGGGTATCCCCGTGGAGTATACCCAACAGCATCCCTCAGGATTCCCATCAATATATCCTGTTCCAATTTATTCCTGAACATGCTGTTTCTAAGCATTAATTTATTAACCTTGTATTTCTCTTTTTTTAAAGAGTACATTCACGCCACTTGCAACTAACCAGCAGTAACATGAATCTTGGTGAAAAGGGTTGGTACATTTATCTCCTGAAGTGGCTCTGCAAGGGAATGGGCAGTTACCTACCTTTGGTCTCACACAAAACATCGTTTCCTAACCCTACCAGAAAATCCTGGGCTCTCTGCTGGAGCTTCTCACGCTCCAGTAAGCAAACAGGTTTGTCTCAGTCCCAGCACACAGGCCCCTTCCTTGCAGGCTCTCTCCCTGTCCTCTGGGGTGCTGGCATCACTGACTATGAATGACTGAAACTGCTCTGAACCTGGGAAGAAACTGCTCTGGGTTCAGAGCTGCCTTTGCAGCTAAGCTTGGCATTTGCTCTACACAGACCCCCTGAGATCTGCTAGGAGGAGTGCATCATAAGTTCCAGGTTTTATTTTTTTAGGAATTTATTTCTAAAGGTAGGGCAACACCTTTCTAGTTCTGACAGCTGTTCAATTTTGGGAATGTGAAAAGCATGGCAAAGTCTAAGAAAAAGGCTTATTAAAAAAAAAAAGAGGGAGGAAATGGAAAGAGTTATTACATAAAAGCTAGGAAAAGAAAATCTGAATTGCTAATACCAGCCCCTACCTTCACCTTCAAGCCTCAATGGACTTTGACTTGCATCATATTACTGCTGAATGAAAATGTCTTCACTTGAAGATGTAATGATAATTTTAATAATTCATTCCTAATTGCTTTGTAATTCCTGAATTAAAGCACTTAAAGACAATGATAATTTTCATAATTCATCCTTAATTACTTCATAATTCCCGAATTAAAGCACCTTAATTTGATGGCAAACAAAACTATCCGATGTCCTGCTTCAAAGACTTACTAAATCTACAGCATATTTAGGACATGTTTTCCCATGAGCTCAGAAGGATCTTATTATTAAAAGCTGTAGACACACAGGAGAAGAAATATCAACAATAATATTCTCCATGCATCTCATTTGCCAAGATAAATGAATCTGTAAAATAGGAATTGAAGCTGACATCTGCTCTTGCAAGGACCGTTAATTAGAATTTAGAGCTGCTAGTTGAATTCTAGCTCCTATGAATTTAGAATATTGTTTGTCATAAGAGGAAATCTTTTTTAGTTTTTCCACACAGAATAAAAGAAACAACCCACAACAAAATACAGTCATTGAAATCAAATCTGAATATTGCAATTTTAAAGTTTTCCTGTATGAAGAAACTTACTGCCAAGACTAAAAACGAGAGAGGAAACAACTCTACTTATAGGGAGCTGCTCTCCAGGAGGAAGGAGAGGTGACAATGGCAGTTTGCTGCCCGTGAGGAACCACCTGGAACACACCTCCTCAGGCTGCAGTCTCTTCATACTCATTGGGAGATTTCCTAGAGTTGCTAAAATTATTTTAAACAACATCCTGGTTTTTCATAGTGTTGTGGCATACAAAGAATCTTTGAAAAGTCACCAGTTTAAGTCATTAAGCATCACTGCAGAAGATCAAGCAAAGATTCCAGGCACGTTTAATACATACCTGGTGCCATTTGCTTTGTTTATCAATGCATTGGTTTTAGACAGAGGTGCTTGGAGAGCAGCCCAAGGAACAGCTGCTTCTCCAGGCCCCAGGAGTCACTGCTGGAAAGTCAGGAACGCACGCAGCTCTCGGGAGGGTTTAGGAGTGTAACTGCAATCTGTCTCCTCAGCGGTCACAGCTAACCCTGGCTTCCTTTCACATGGAGTTGGGGGGCTGTCCTTCCTGATTTAGGGAAATTATAACCAGAAACCTGAGCAGGGAACAGAACAACTGTGGTGTGTGTAAGAGATTTCACTCTCAAAAACATTTCAGGATCAATACCTTGCTGTTCACCTGCAAAACCAGCCACAGCTCAGGCAGTGCCCATCAGCTTCCTCACCACACACATCTTCATCTGTGAGAAGACACCTTACTCCTCATGCATGCTGACAGCACCACACCTTCAACTTGACAATCAATGGCAATGAAAAAATCACTGAGAATTATTTTTATGGAAGTCTAAAACCCCAATTATCTTTTCTGTATTTGTAGCTTTTGCCTTCAGCTAAAGCTGCCCTCAGAGATGTGAATTACTGACATACATTTACCGAATTCTGAACTGCAAATTAAAGCTCATGGCTATTAAGATGACTCACTGCATATACTCATGGATACCTCCACAAAGGAGCACCAAACACTCTGTACTAAGGTTTTTTTCTACATTTCCCACATTTTTAGGAATTTCTCTTTATATTTCCTGAAAAGAAAGAACAAGATATACAATCTATTCCATAGCTAATGTGTAACTCACAAAAGTAAGCCTCACTCTGTAAAACACAAATCCTGATATTACCAAGCCCAAGCAATGAATTTTGCCTTCCAGTGCTGAAGAGCTTCAAGGGGAAACCTTCACAACCTGGACACCTGGGACACGAACACCAGGTAACAGGGAGGTGCAGCTGTGAGTGCAGCCAACTGCACCAAACCCCCAGGGAAGGCTCCTCTTTGTCCACCAACTTCTGCACACACTTCTCTTATTTCTTACCTCTGCTTTTCCATTCCAAGATGACAAAACCCTGTACAGACTTGAGATGTCAACCATGCATCGTAAGACTTTTCATGGCCTTCTCCCAGGCCCTTAATTCTGGTCAAATTGTGGCTGAGGAGGTAAAAAATTTGGAAAGACTTCCTAGTCTTTTGTTCCAGGCAAGGCTGAAGTGTGGGTGAGGAAGCAGCATGGCACTTCTTTCTGCTGAAGGGATGTTTTTGGGTGGGGAAACAACACATGGCTTTCCTTGCTGTGTTCTGCTTTTTTTTTTTCAAAACCATCCTCTTTGTCTGAATACTGATAACACACAAAAATGCTACTTACTCCCTCATGTGTTTCAGTTTGGCCTCGGCCATGGTGCTGTTGAGAGCTCTGAGTCCCGGGGGCGCCCCTGGAGACACTCTGGTGACAGTCCCCGAGCCTGCAGATCAATGCACAGACACACAACCTTGTTCACCTTCATCCCGAGCTCTGCTGCAGAGCCAAGGGCAGTCAGGAGGAGGAAGACTACTCCTGTTTCTCACAGGGTAGTGCCACATTAATTAAAGATGAATTAGATTATTAAATGCACATTAAGGGCAACTCTTTTCTGAGGGACAAGTAGATTTATAGCTTAAAGGCACCAGAATTGTAATAACCATTTTCCTTCCATGTAGTGTACAGGGAATTACGTTACAACAGAACGAACAGTCAGTTGAGGAAGTGCTGGGACAGATAAATATTCAAGGAAATGAAATTTGCTTAGACAAGATATATTTTCCTCCATTGTTCTTGCACTTAAGAGCAAGAGTCTTCTTCCTAACAAGCAAGTCTCTCCTTTAGCTTGATCACTGCTGTAAACTGGAAGGATATAACTTAGGACATCAATTTCCCCTTCAGATGAAGGCACTCTTCTTATGTGTGGGGGTGTGTGTGTATGTATCTGTATATAAACCCATCCCTGTGTGTGTAAATACACGTGCACACCCACGTGAGACACAGGCACCTGCACAACCCACGCACGCTCTGCCTGTTCCCAGGCCTTGGGGCTCTGGCAGTGTTGAAGGACCTCATGCTCCCAGGTGCTGTGCTGCTCAGCCACGGGAAGATGAGGTCCTGAGCCACAGAGGACCATGAGGGTTGTCAGCTCCAATGCCTTGAAATGTCACCTTGTTGTCCTGTCACACAGGCCCTGCTTAACCAAAGGGGCTGATTGATTTATTGCCCCTGCTGCTTCCACTGGAAAACAATTCCAGAGCCTCACTGCAAGCTGGCAGCTAAAAGCTTATCCTCTAATTTCCTGCCAAAGCTGCTTTATTGGCCAGTCCATGCTCACTTTTCCCCTGTGCCAGTCCTTTCCTTTGGCTTTCTCAGTTCTTCCCTTCCCTTTTGCATGCTCCTTTCCTTTCTTTATAATTGGAAAAAAGATCCCACTTCAGCTTTCAATTTGCTAAGCTAAACAAAGCAGCTGTTTGAGTTTCTTCTTGCAAAATACCTGGCACTAGGGTGTCACAGCCCAGGAGAGGAGAATACGCGTCGTGGTGGCACCAGGCGTGCCCGTGCGGGCTGTGGCACACGGGACCCTGTCCTGAGGGGACACAGGGGGGCTCTGGGGGCTGCCAACAGCAGCACCTCGACACAAGCCCTCTCCTCAGGGTAACCCCAAGTCCTGGGCCAAGCAATGCTCAGGACCTGACTCGGTGGCACCCTCTTCTCAACTGGCACAGCATTAAGGTCCAGATGTGGGGCTCTGGGGCTTGGGAAGCACTAAGAAATTGATGCCCTGAGCACCATTCTCTCAAGAAAGAGTCTGTTTAACCACGGGCCCAGGAAATTTCTGCTATCACTATTATTACAGGACGTATCACTGTATCAGAGCTCAGCAGAGTCTTTCTGCTTAGTGGGTTCAATCTATTTATTGCTACAATAACTCCTTCTACTCCGACACTTCATTATTAAAGACATCCTTCTTGTTTTTTTTTTTCTAGGATTCCAGGCTAAATAATTCATATTTTGTCTGCTCTCCACACTGGCAGTGGGCCAAGCAAAACTTATTCTCTACACACAAACTAGTATCTATCTTCCTCTCCATTTAATAGGATTTTCTGGGCACTCTGAGGCAGCTGCAAGGACTACAGACCGTAGGATGCTGCAAAGCTGTCGTTAGCCATTAAAAAATGAGCTCTCAGTGAAAACTGCAAAAAGCTTTTCATGTTGTTGCTACAATGAGCCTCAAAATTTTTTCCTTGGTGGATTCATAACCCACACCAACTTTCTATTAGAGGGATTTTCTTAGAAGCTGTTGCTTGATTAATAATATATTTTGCACCCAGCTTCGAGCAGTTTGCTTACCCAGACACCAACTCAGACCAGGGAAATGTGCTTCTTCAAGAAGTGACCAGATAACTATTTGCATTTTTTATGGAATATACCCTTCTTGATTCATTAAACAAAACCAAATGAAACAAGAGCACTGACTTTTCAAAACCAGGTGGTGTGGCTTTCTAAAAGCATTTCAAAGACAAATATTCTCCCAGCACCTTTTTAGCTTTTAAGTAGAACATCAGAAACCAGGTTTCTAAATGCTAACTATACAGACAGAATTTTCAGGAGATTTGAGGATTAAATTGCAAATTTAAATTGTCAGTGATTTTTCTGTGTCTGTAATGAGATATTGTAAAATAAAACAAATTTTATAAAAGAAAAAAAAATATCTAAACCAGGACCAAATTATAAAAATATTTTTACCCTAATTCATTTTCTCTTATTGTCACTAGTACTAGAAACCATAATACATATCCTTAAATATTTTCCTCTGGTGAAAAAATAGCAGAAGCCAAGTTTTTCAAAGCTTTGTTATAACATCCCACACGTCTG